ATGAGCCAGGTTTAGAAGCTATGCACTAGTGTCTACATTGCCTTTCCACACATTCTAGGCCTGAGGTAATTTTGCAGATGTGGTCAATAACTGATTATTCTTAGCAGCTTTTGTCTTTTCTGACTTTTTTCTCTTTCTATTTTTTTACAGTAGTTTATGCCAGTGTGGCTTCATTCATACAGATGAACCAAGGATTGGGATAGCAGTATAAAATTAGAATCAGACAGCTGACTGCTCAGCAGGATGCCATCAACTAACAGAGCGGGCAGCCTGAAGGACCCTGAAATTGCAGAGCTCTTCTTCAAAGAAGATCCAGAGAAGCTCTTCACAGATCTCAGAGAAATTGGCCATGGAAGCTTTGGTGCAGTGTATTTTGTAAGTATTAAAGTTTTAATGTCAGTGACCAGCATTTGCTTAATGTTCCTGGCAGAACAAAAAAAAGTAAAGAGATACAGGCCACAGTTTATTTTATAGTCACTTGCACAGGGTTGGGGAAGGGGGAGATTATATGTATGTATGTGTAAGATTCAAATATAAAAATAAATAGTTTTATTTATTGAACTTCTTGGATTATTGAACAAAATGAGAAAGAATATTATTTTGCTTTAACTTGCACATTCCTTGTTTAAAATTTTTAGGATACTTTTAATTTTATTTCAGATTAATATGAGATTATAAATGATTAGGTTACATTGTTTGCATTTGTTAGGTAAAGTCCCTGTTGTGTTTGTGCCCCTTACCCAGGAGGTTTGCTATGTACCCTTACATTGTGCCTGTTAGGTGAGAGCACACCAGTCTTCCTCCATTCTCCCCCCTTCCCCCAACTTGAAGTAATCAAGTTTTTCTTTTGTGTGGGCATATATTTGTTTTTCTCCTGGTTTTGTGTTAGTATTGAGTACATTGGATACTTTTTTTCCCATTCTTGTGATACTTTACTTTAAGGAGAATGTTCTCCAGCTCCATCCAGGTTAATGCAGAAGATATAAAGTCTCCATCTTTTTATGGCTGAATAGTATTCCATAGTATATATACACCACAGTTTATTAATCCATTCATGGATTAATCTCACATCTTGGCGATTGTAAATTGAGTCTGGTATAAATGTCCTTATAATTGTAAGTGATATTTTTTTCTCCCATACCTAGTAATAGGATTATAGGATCATAGCATTCTGTTTTTAAGAGTCTGGTGACTTGAATTGCTATAGAAATAAATATTACAGAACACTGACTTTTCTTTTAAAGTCCCATGCAGAGTCAGTCTTAGTCTTGTGGACATCTAGGACTATCTTTAAAAACGTGTGTGTGTGTGTGTGTGTGTGTGTTCATGTGCTAGAAAAGTTACCAAAATTACTATTTTAGCTATTTTTAATATTCAAAATGGGTGTGCAGGCAACCATTAACAATATCCACTTGTAAACATCTGCATCACCCCAAATCAAAACTCTTATGTTCATTAGCAATAGCTCTCCATTTCATCCTCCTTCCAGCCATTGGTATCTTATAATCTACCTTCTGTCTCTGTGAATTTCCTTATTGTAGTTATTTCTTAGAATCATATGGTATTTGTTCTTTTGTGTCTACCTCATATTACTTAATGTAATGATTTGGAGCTTTATCTGTATTGCAGCATGTATCAGGACTTCATTCCTTTTTATAGTTGATATTCCTTAGAAATATTCCTTTCTATGTATAAAATGATTGTTTATTCATCTATTGAATGACACTTAGGTTGTTTCCATCTTTGACTATTATGAATGATGCTGCAGTGAACATTGATGTGAAGTATTTCTTTCCACTTAGGAGTATGTATCTGGGAGTGGAATTGCTGGTTTCATGGGTAATTCTGTGTTTAATGTTTTGAGGAACTGCCAAATTGCACCATAGAAGCTGGACCATTTCCATTCCTAACAGCTATGTGTGAGAGTTACAATTTCTACATGACCTTGACAGTGCCTGTTATTTTGATTATAGCCATCCTGCTAGGTGTGGAGTGGTATCTCATTCAGGGTTTGATTTGTATTTCCATAATGACTGATGATGTTGAGCAACTTTTCAAGTGCCATTTGTATATCTTCTTCGTCTTCTTTTTTTTTTTTTTTTTAATTTGAGACAGAGCCTCAAGCTGTCCCCCTGAGTAGAGAGCTTTGGCATCACAGCTCACAGCAACCTCCAACTCCTGGGCTCAAGCGAGTCTCCTGCCTCTGCCTCCCAAGTACCTGGGACCACAGTCGCCCGCCACAATGCGTGGCTATTTTTTGGTTGCAGCCACCATTGTTGTTTGACGGGCCTGAGCTGGATTCGAACCCGCCACCTTAGGTATATGTGGCTGGCGCCTTAGCCACTTGAGCCACAGGCGCCAAGCTGTGTATATCTTCTTTTGATTGAGACAGAGTCTCCTTGTCTCCCTGGGTGGAGTGTCATGGTGTCATAGCTCATAGCAACCTCAAACTCTTGGGTTCAAACAATCCTCTTTCCTCAGCCTCCTTTTGCCAAGTAGCTGGCACTACAAGTGTTGCCTACAACACCCAGCTAGTTTCTCTATTTTTAGTAAAGACGTGGTCACATTCTTGCTCAGGCTGGTCTTGAATTCCTGAGCTCAAGCAATCCACCCACCTCAGCCTCCTACAGTGCTAGGATTATAGGTGTGAGCCACTGCGCCCAGCTCCATTTGTGTATCTTCTTTAGAGAAATGTCTATTCAAGTTCTTTGCTCATTTTTATGTTTGGGTTATCTTCTTGTTGAGTTGTAATGGTTCTTACATTAGATACTTACCATGTAAATGATTTGCAAATATTTTCTTCTATTTTGTGGTTTGTCTTTTTACTTTCTCAATAATGTTTGATGTACAAAGTGTTAAATTTTCAAAATTTAAAATTTAAAGTTTTAAAATTTCATGAAGTCCACTTTATCAGTTTTTTTTTTTTTTTTAAATATGCTGCTCACGCTTTTGGTGTCATGTCTAAAAATCTATCACCAGGTTCTGAGGGTGGCTCATGCCTGCAATTCTAGCACTCTGGGAGGCTGAGCCAGGCAGATTACCTGAACTCAGGTGTTCAAGACCAGTGTGAGCTAGAGTGAGACCCTATTTCTACAAAAAACTATCTAGGTGTTGGGCAGGCTCCTAAAATCCCAGTTACTAGGGAGTGTGAGGCAAGAGGATCTCTTGAGGCCAAGACTTAGAGGTTACTATATGAGCTATGACACCATGGCACTCTACCCAGGGCAACAAAGTGAGACTCTATCTCAAAAAAAAAATCTCTTACCAAATCCAATATTATAAAGATTTGTCCCCATGTTTTTTCCCTAAGATTTTATGACTTTAGCATGCGTTATTAGGTCATTGCTCCATTTTGAGTTAATTTTTATGTATGGTATGAGGTAGAGGTCCAACTTCATTGTTTTGCTAGTGGAAATCCAGTTGTTCCAGT